AGGTAAAGCCTCTTTAGAGGCACCTTGAGATTGCCATGACCTGGCATGAAACAAGCCATCGTATAAGGAAGGAAAGCCCGAGGGTTGCACTGTGGAAGAGAACCATCGTACCGCCTTGAGCACATTGATGGAATGTACCGAAGAGTGATTGCTGCGAGATCTCTGTAATGTATGAATTGAGTCAATAAGCTGAACCTGAGACAGTGATGTGATGTCAAAACCCAGGTCGCGAATCGTATGCAACAGCTGCCACAGAATTGCAATGTATCGCAGCGCCGTCGTGTCCGACACTCGGCGGAGCAATTGCTCCAAAAGGGAATGCTTGTTAGAGCTGTGGAAAATTTCACAGAGCAATGCAGAACATGACAATGCAAACTCGCAGAGTTCCGACCACAACTGAAGGGCCCGTGACCACTGATTGGAATGCACCTCGGACTGCTTGACCACCTTGGAGCTTCCCTTGGTGGTGCCTGAATGAAGGAGATCAATTCCTCTCTTGGCACCAGGACCTTTGGTCGGCAATGGACCAAGTGGCTGCACTGAGGCCCCACCAGAAGGGGGTGAGGACCCTGTAGCCTGAAATGGAGGCGAACTCTTCGAGAGAGCCCCCGACACCTGAGAAGCAGAATGCAAATGATCAGATGGGTACCGAGCATACGCCCCTCGAGAGGAGGGAACCGGACGAGGCTTGGGCTCAGTCCTGGGCACCCCGATGGAGGCCCTAAGTGGAAAAATCGGCCTCGATTTTGCATGTTCTGTCGACCTGGCACCCATGGGATGCAAGCTTGTAGCACGAACACATCCAGCACTGAGTGTGGCTGGCCGAGCTAAGGGAGCCGGCTTGGGATGCAAAGTGGCCTCCATCTGAGAAAAGGAATGCTCCTGTTGCGAGACTGCCGGAAGCAACGGTGACTCCATCTCCCTGTCAGTCTCCGCAAAAGAGAGACGGCCCACACGAAGTGGGGAGAAGCTAGATGATACGGTAGAGCAAAATGCAGGAGTCTTCTCGGGCACCGGCGAAATCACATCCCAAGAAAAGGAACCCGAATGGACTGCAGAGGCTGCCACAGGCTGCCACAGGCTGTGCCAAAGACGCTTCCAATGGATCTACCAGCTCAAAATCGGGGTCATATATTGGTGAAGGGGGTCGCGACCCAAATGAAAAACCTTCAGGGTCCAGCTGTGGCCCCTGCAGAACATCAGTTCCAGCGATGACCACCTCCGGGAGTAATGGAGCCTCATGATCAGCGTCCTGTGCAGATAAGGCCAATGCGGGGTGCAATGGATCCACCTCCAGGTCACCCTGAGAAGAAGCAACCACTGCATCAAGAACAACGGCAGAAGGCGAGGCCTCCAAGGTAGGCGAACCTTCCTGCTGGGATGAAGTCCGCTTCTGAAATCGCTTGACAATGCAACGAGTCTGGTCAGAAATCGCAATGTCTGTTCCAAGTGAAGCAGATGCATCAATCTCAGGCACTGACGAATCACTCACAGGCACTGACTGATCCATAATGCAAATGAAATACCAAATGCACTGTAAAATCGCAAACGCCAAATGGCCTGAAACCATGCGCTCCTCCCCCTATCGCGAGCGGGAGAGGAATGAAGTGGAGCTAAATCCACAAAGATTGGGAGCCTCCAGAACTGTTCTAGAGGGCTTACACGGCGAGGCCCGTTGGCCTACAAAATTTTCAGCCTGCGATGCAGGCGAGCTGGCAGCTGCGAGCCTGCTTGCTGCAATGTACATGAAGTGTCATGAAATGCAGCAAGCATGCAAAACATTACCAAACACTCGTGAGCAAGCACACATACCGCTTCGCACAGCCTACGAAAAGGAGGCGCCACCGCCATGCTGGCAGTGACCAATGACGTTGAGGTAGTTAAGAGGTTTGGAGGTTGGAAGTCCGATGCTATCCATGCCTACCTGTATACTGACCTTGCCGCTGCTCCTAGTCGCTCCAAAGACATGCTGGCGTCCCGCCCTGTGCTCCAACCACAGCAATACTCACACCCGAGCGGCCATGCCGCCCCAGGGACAAGAGCCGGAGGCCCCTCTAATAATGGTAGCGGCACCGATAGCGAGGCTGGAGACTCATCCGAGGGTTTCGACGTTGACTGGGAAGCTAGTCAGGCGCATCTTGAACATCTTGAAAGGACCACTGGGCTCACTTTCATTCAGAGGGTCAGACTTCGCAGGCAACTTGAAGCTGGTGGGATAGTCGATCCCCCTTCGTTTCTGTTTAGGTTTGGAGGTACCCCCGAATGGCTCCTCCCACCTGAAGCCTGCCCTAACAGGACCCCTGTGAGTGCGCAGTCTGCTGCTTCGTCTAGTGACCAGCCGCCGATAAATCCTCAGAGACCTGGCTCACATATGTCTCTTTTCTTTGCTCCAGCAAGCGTTCCGCTCACCCCGGCGCACCGCCTCTCCCTCCACTCGCACCATGGCTGAGGCAGCACCGCCGACCGGAATGGGGAACCGCCAACTTCGCGAGTGGATACAGGAGTGGGGCAGTGCTTGGGACTTCCTCGGCCTCGCCCCCAGCAGCGCCATGAGTGAGGTCCTCCGCGCTTACAAGCGCACGGCGATCCGCCTCCACCCGGACAAAAGCCCCCCGGACGAGGTTGAAATGGCCACTGTGCGCATGCAGGCCCTGGGGAATGCCAAGGAGATCCTCCTCAACCCAAGCCTACGGATTCTTCATGATACCGCCACCTGGACGTGAACCCGACCCCTCCGCATGCGGCACAGCGAAGGGCAAGAACAGAGGCCGATGGGGTACCCCCTTCTACGACACCAGCAGCGAGGAGTTTTCCAGTGCGGGCCCCGACCTGTGGGGAACCGAATGGCCTCCACCGCTATGGCTGCAACGGGTGTGGCCGCTCGCAGCACGCTGTGGGAAATGTTCAGGAGAGAGCCACACATTGGATATGCCCTGACTGTCAGGAAGAGGTGTCTGTCAAGACTAACCAATGTGTGGGCTGCGGGTGTTGGCGACCGAGGCATGGAGAGCTCCTCCACCATGGCCCCGCTCCGGATGCACCCGAGGGCGTCTACAGCTCCTGTGGGACACTGTCGATGGAGGCCCAGGCCTTGCCGTGGCCCAAGAGTCGCACAGTGGGAAAGCCTCCGCGAAAGCTTGGGAGGCGTTCCGCACGGGTGCTTGCTTGGGAGGTCCTCCACCTGGCTTGGACAGAGACGAGCAGACGGAGCAGATGGACGGTGAACAGCAGGCGCCACCGCCCCCTGCCGCTGCAGCCACACCACAGCCGCCACCGCCTATGCCGATGCTGGAGCCGAAGTCGGTGTATGGGCCTCGGAAAGGGCAAAGGCATGGGCGCTCCGCCCGAGGGACCGTTGCCCCACACTCCGGCTACCCCAAAGAGCTACGCCCCTGGGGACTTCGCGAACGTGGGCGCTCCGCCCCCTGCGTCTGGTGGTCTACAACCCGTTTGCGTGCCAAATGGAGAGGCTTTGTGGTTCACGGTGAGGGACCTAGACGAGACGACTCCCCGGCTGGTCCTACCTTGGACCATCTTCCAGCATGTCGTTATGTGTCGCAGGACCCTGTGCGGACTGCAATCATGGGGCCGTGTGGGAGTTATCTTCATTCGGCGTGTTGCTCAAGACATTCTTCACTGGGCACGCAGAAGGGGCCACTTGACTCGGATCCAGATGGCCAACAGTGGCAACCCATGTTTCATGGATCTGCAGGAGGCACATCCGGAACCTCAAGGTGATCTACCGCCCCTCAGCCCGGCCACAGGAGACCATCGGCCTCTTTTCACTTTCCAGGACTTCCTGCGGAACCCCAGCCTTGGGCAGCACTACAGGAATAACGAAGGGCCACCGCGACCGGGTCGCACCGCCCTTCCCTGCATCTACGCGGCCCCGACTCGTCAGCTTCCTCTTGCAGAATCCTATGCGGAGGCTGACCGAGCCCAGAATGTGATGGGACGTTGGGCTACGCAGATCCTGGGTGACGAGCCGGCTGTTCCGCCAGATGAAGGCGCTCCGCCTACAAATGAAGGTTTGAAGCCCTCTTAGTCCGTATACGTTCAAGTTCCCAGTCAAGATATATAAAGAGAAATATCCATCCGATAGATATTTCAAAATGGGAGCAGACGGAATCGAAATATAATTCCATTCCGAAAGATAGAGAAATGTGCACGCACCAGAACGAACATGTTTTCTCGAAAGGAAATGCCGAGTCAACGATCGACCAACCCGACGAAACCCCCAGCCAATGCAGCAAACGTTCAAAACCCCGTCCCACCGTGGAGAGCAAGCTCCAAAGGGAAAGCGGAAACGCACTGGTCAGGGGGAAGGGTATGAAAGGGTCGAAAGCCGTACCGTAACTACCCCCCGTGGCGGGTGCAAGAGGATGGTGGTGGGTGAAAAATTTGACCAGGAAAGGAACTTGAACCAAAAAGGCAAACGAAAGCGAAATTCAACACTGCCACGTCCAAGCATGCGCAAAAGAAAAAGGCATGTGTTGAAAACGAAAACTTGCCTTCCGGGCTTTGAGAGCTATCAAACCAAATCGTTTCAAAAACGAAAATCGTTTGAAGCCCTCTTAGTCCGTATACGTTCAAGTTCCCAGTCAAGATATATAAAGAGAAATATCCATCCGATAGATATTTCAAAATGGGAGCAGACGGAATCGAAATATAATTCCATTCCGAAAGATAGAGAAATGTGCACGCACCAGAACGAACATGTTTTCTCGAAAGGAAATGCCGAGTCAACGATCGACCAACCCGACGAAACCCCCAGCCAATGCAGCAAACGTTCAAAACCCCGTCCCACCGTGGAGAGCAAGCTCCAAAGGGAAAGGGGAAACGCACTGGTCAGGGGGAAGGGTATGAAAGGGTCGAAAGCCAAGTAAAGATCGTTTCGCGACCCGGACAGGGGAAAAGACCCGAAATAAATCGAGAAACATGTCATGAAGTGCAGAACACATTCGCTGGTTTTCACTCGGATGCACAACCTGGCGTCAGAGCTAGCCTGAGGCTCGAGACAATGCCAAGTCCAGCGAGCGAAGTCGACGTTCGATGTCAGCATTGAGATTGACAAGAGCGTCCAGACGTTGTTCATGATAGCGCAGGCAGCGAACATTCGCCAAAGGCGAGCGCAGCAGGCGAGCTGCGGTGTTCTCTTCGACCGCCGTGAACACGAATGAAAAATGGTCATCCTCGCCACGCGGGCGAACCTCGTTGAGCTGGACCTGCAAGGCATAGATCGCATCCCAGAGTGCAGCCAAGCTGGAATTGCGCAGGCTCGCAACTTCAGCACGTAGCATCAGCACCTCCGCACGAAGGAGATCGCATTGGAGACACGGCGGGGGACAGGCCCCCAACGCTCCAAGATCAGCCTCCCGTAGAACCGGCCCCGAAAGAGGAGACGACTCTGGAGCAGCACCGGACAGACGGGAAGAAGTTTCCACCGAGTGGCCCGACATGTTAGTGCAACGCAAGAAAACCATGGATACTGTAAGCAAAAGACTGCGGAAGGCAAGCGAGGCCGGCAGCAGTCATACATCACAGATTTTGGGACGGACCCCGTCAAGCCGGAGCTCGAAGTCCGCATCAGAGTGCAAGAAGGAGCCGGCAACAAGCTTCACGGCCGGGGCGGCACGCATGATCGACGTCAGCAAGCGCGCTGAAGATCACCCGGTCGCACATCTCCCACACGTGCACGGCATGGCAAAAGAGCAGCTTTCTGCAATAAGGCTTCAGACAACACAGTGAAGCGTACCGCGATGTATTTTCGCCGCTGGCGATCAAGCCTGCAAACATGTGGAAATGATAATAAAACATCGCACTCAGGGACTATTCATCCAAGTCTTGAAAGGAGGCGGCCACGAGGCCGAAGTAGGTTCCAGCAAGAGCCGCTGCTCAAGAAGCCATTGCAAAGGCGGATGCACACGGTCACCCAGGGGCAATGGTGCAATGTCAGTAGGCGTAAGCCTGCTGAGCGCATCTGCAAGTTCATTGCGATACCCAGGTACATGCTCGACCTCCGCTTGGACACCAGACCACGCCTGAAAAGCAAGGAACTTCTTGACAATCTCGCTCATGGACAGCACCGAGGAAAGGCCCTTGGAGGCACAGGCCTCTGCACCGGAGTTGTCCGATCGAAGGCAAGCCCGACAGAGTCCACGATTGGAAGGCAGAGTGGCGAAGACGCACCAAAGCAGCAGTAATTGAGCCAGGAGTTCCAACGCCGAAATATGCGCCTGGAGGGGCGGAGGGAACCACGAAGTGAGAGCAGCCCACTCCTGACTGTCTTTTCTAAGTAATAGAAAACCAGACAGTGCGACCACTGGGCCACATGGCGTAGCCTCCTAACCCAGACACCTCCGCATCGGCAAAGGCATCCGCCTCCGCGATGACCTTCAGCGGGAGTGGGCTACGAAGCGCCTTCATGAAGGGGGTGCCCTGGAAAATGGCACGCCACGCAATTAAGCTTGACCTGCCGACATCCCCGAGGACTCGCAGCGGATGCCCAGGATCCTTTACCTCGACCCACAATCGGCGCTTCCTGAATGGCACCTGATCAAGGTCCTGCTTGCAAGACACAAATGTATTGGCCGCACGGGTAACGCAAGCGCCTTTATGGAAGGACGGATGCCCAACAGAGCGGGTCAGCACGCAATCCTCAGCGATGTCGCGCTTGATCGCAGCCCACAGCTCAGGGCTGACACCAACCGAGGAAGCTGGTAGGCGCTGCAGAGCTGCATATAATGGGGACAGCAAAGGCCGAAGCACCGTCCACAAGCCGGTAACCCACAAAAGGCGTCCGATGAGTGATTCCAAAGTTTTGAACTTGACCTTGTCCCCAGCAGAAAGTAGCTCAGCGATTTGATCAAGAATTTTGGAAATTTTCGCAGACGGAAGCTCGCAAACCCAGCTTTCAAGGTTGATGGACCATCCAATCCAAATGCACTCCGACGACCAGACACACTTTGGCCAAGAAAGTGGTACTCCCAGTGCTAGGAGCAAGAGAATCCAAATGGAGGCAGAGATCGGAGCCACATCGCCGCGGAAACCTCCCAAAAAATCGTCCACGTAGCCCCAAAGCAGATGTGAAAGCCAGATCGCTGCGTGCGACAGACGAAGCAGGGCTCCACCAACTCTGGCCCACCAAAAAGCAGAAGCTCTGGCCCCGAAATTAAGGGTGCTGGACGTGAAGACGCGCCCCTCGAAGGTGAAAGCCAGCAGAGCCTGGTCACAGTGTTCCACCATGACCATGCGGTGAGCCTTGCGCACATCCAAAGAAATCGTGATCCAAGGTTGGCGGCCTAGGCAGGAGGGAGCGCAATCCTCAACGTCGGATATGCGTGGCAGCAGCATGTGATTTGGAATCTGACAAGCAGCCGTGACACCACTAATCGAGCTGTCGACCGTGAGTCGAGGCGACCTACCTTCGGCCAGAACCAGTCCAAGTTTGCCGATAGCCACCGCCGGGAAGTGATCATGCAGGTATTGAACCGAAGGTCTCTCCACGATCCAGCCTTCAGCGATTTCCTGAGCCAGGAGCTCCCGGACCTGCTCCGGGTGATCGGAGGCACTTTTCCAAGAACCTTCGCAAATCACGAGGTCCGACACAATCGGATCCGCAGTGCATTCGCACACCTTTCCGGAGATGCTGGCATAGATCCGATTCAGGGTCTTTAGTAACAGCCAGCAGCTTCTCCAGGACGTTCATGCGGAAAGGCTGTCCCGGTTGAATCGACAGAAAATTCTCGAACTCTGTTGCAGGAACCTCACAAAAGCAACACAGGTCATCGAGAAAAGGCTGAAGCTCCTCTGCGCTGATTGGTGGACAATCGGTACCAGCCCGCAACGTGGAACAGATGCGGAGACAGAGACGACTGTCGACCAGATGCTGCGTCCACTTCTTACGGAGACCTGCAAGGTGGTCATCAGCTTGTGGAGTAATCCAGCACGCTGTACTGTTGACACCTGCCCCATCCTCAACGCGGCGACCCAGCTGAGGCCAAACTGGGTCCAGGGGCAGAACAGAGCGCCACTCAGCACAGGGAAGCAGCCGGCCCTGAGACGAAGTGTACTTTCCCAGAAGGGCAGCCAAAGCGGCCGCCAGCGATTTCGGGTACGCAGCCGTCATTCGGCTAAGGAAACTTCCATCATCTGCTCGAATCCCCCACACAGCCTTGTGCGCCCGGGATCCATGTTGGCACTCGGACGCGAGGTCGAGTATGTCCGGCCTGTTGGATAAGAAGAGCCAGCGCTTGGACACATCCATGCCCTGATGACAAGCTGCAACTTGGGCACCGAATGAAAGTGTGCTGGATGTCCACTGTTGCATGGTCTCTGTCAAAAAAGTCATGGAAGATGGCGGCTGTTCAAAAACAATGCAGCCTCCGAGAGCCGCGACACTGGAGAGAAGCTCCCGACATCGATCATGAAGTAAAGCGCTGTTCTGAGCCACCATAGATTGATGCCAATCGTTGGAAAGACAACCGAGCGGCTCCTCCGGTGTGCGGCACGGGGGCGGTCCGCCCGGTCGAAGTTTGAGAAGGCTGAATTCCCCGCAGGGCGGAGACGCTATGGCCGCTCCCACCACGCCGCTGGAGCAGAGCGCCAGGAGTTGAGCAAAAAAGTCATCATCCAGAAGGTCGAAATCCTGGCAATGAATGATGTCAACTGGTTGAAAGCAGTCCTTGCCCAAGGCTTGCATAGCCGCACTGACAGGAGCCCCGGCCCCGGAACAAATATCCAGAAAGAAACGCCCCGAATTGCAGTCGCAGACAAAGTCGGAATCAGGCAATTGGGGCAAGTCAGGGCAAATCCCTGGCCGGAGTTGGTGGCCGGAACCGACCGCACTGACGGAATTGGGCCGTGGGAGCAAGTCCCGCTGATCCTCAGTGAGTGCAAGAGCACGAGGGGCAATGGGCAAAGCACCTTTCACAACCGAAGGGGAAGGAGGCCTAAACCCTAGGGAGGAAAGGCGGGCGGAAGTATCGGCAGCCAGCGACTCGCAAGCTCGAAGTGTGTAACCCACTAGAACCAGACGGCGGCCTTCAAAGGGCAGGACTTCATGAAGGCAAGACGAGGCAGTGAAGATCACCGGGCCGCGACACACTGGTAGGGAGACAGCCGGGCGCTTGACGCCATCATGTACCATCACATCGGCCCCGGATGGGTGCGCAACCCGCAACTCACCCCCGGAGAAACATGAAATGGGAATGACCACATTGGGCAGGTCCGAGTTGGCTGTGTCACAGTGCGCCTCGGAGGCAATGCCGTCGATCAAGACAAAAGATGAGTGGAAAAACCCTGGTGCCATTGAAGAAATAAGCGAATTCAGAACTCGCACCGATGAAGGGTGTGACCCGCATACCTTGCGCAGGCCAACCTTGATCCGATGGTAAAGACCAGCCGAGACCGAAGCCCCACTAGAGAACCGATCATCAAGGTCAGGTGCTTCTTGCAGCAAAAGGTCAGCGAGCCTCTCAACGCTTTTACACGATAAGGCCACTGATTCGGACAAAATTGAATCTGCGAAAGACTCAGCCTCAGACTGAGAGGTCCCAGAGACCACAGGGGGCAAAATCAGGCGGGGGATCAAGGTCCATGCCATCCTCCACCGCTGCCCGTCACTGGGGGGCAGCATTATGCGCGGACGCAGGGTGAGCAGCCCCACAGGGCTTCCCATCAGATCCAAGGATCGGGCACTTGTGACTGAAACGGCATGATTTGTTTCTGCACTTATCCGTGTGATAGCGGATACACGCACCGACCCCGCCGATTTGGCGAGCCCAATTGCTCGGCCAGTTGCTGATGGAGACGCGATCTTTGGAGGAACCCGCATCCGCACTCTTGCGTGGCTTGGCCTTGCTCTTGGCTTTGGCTCGAGGATTTGGATGCGGAGCGGGCGGCGGTTCAGTGCGCTGGCGTTTGCCACGAGGCTCACCTCCACCCTGGTGCATCTTCGGCCGCGGAGCCAAAGCGTTGTGAAGGTCCGAACGGACATGTGTCAATTCAGAGACACAATCCTGCAAAGACCAGCCGTATTCCTTCTGCAAGGAGCAGATGGCACTCCAAAGCACACGGTCGGCATCCATAGCCTCTGCCAGCGTGGGTCCTCGCAGGGAACGGTCAATCGGGATCGCCGTCGCCAGGCTCACAAATTTCTCCGAGAGTTTCTTCAGAGTCAGTAAGTGGCAGGCATCAAGAACCGCTAGGGCATAAGACACGCGGTCAAGGTATCGACGAATAACAGACTCAAGGGGGAGGTGCTGCGGAACATCCACCACAAGTTCATCCGAGACCGGACCGAGCAGTGACTGTAGCATCTGCAAGTCCGTGCGCGGCTTGCGTCGCTCGGTGAGAGCCTGTTCATCTGACTCACTCGTCCGAAGTCGCCATGAAATCCAGGAGAGCTGCTTGGAATCGACCGCATCCTTGACCGCATTCAGGAAAGGCAGACTTGGCATGACCTCCGGGCGAAGGAGTTATCCGAAGGATATTTGCGCGAGAACTCCACCACAAGCGAGTTGACATCCGCAGCTTGAAGTTTAGGTCTCACAGCTGCCGGGGTCGGTGCAGCCGGGGACGAAGCACCGGCCGGCCCTGCCAGGTTGATGCACTCTTTAAGCACACGACGAAGGGCAGCCGCCTCCGGAGAGAAAATGGGGACCGTCGGGTCCGCACCCACTGCTCTGCCCAGCCAAGACTCAACAAAGGCCTCGAGGTCATCCAAAGACGGGAGAGCATGGGCCAGGAGGGCCATGGTGTTGTAGCCGGCATCATGAAGCTTATCCTTGACTGCATCCGGGACCGCCCATCTAGTGAGAAGGCCCGTGAAAGCGGCCGGATCATCGAGCATGACGGCGGATCCTGCCATGGCTTTTCTTAAGTTCCTAGCAGCCAAACGCTAGCGATTGCCAAATGCCAAGAAGAGCAGAAGAACATTATACACCAAGCGGCAATCCCAGCTTTTGCAACCTGAGGTTACGTAGAAGGACACGGCCGGTTGGCCGAGCTCGTCTAGCTCGAAGCGTAGAGCCGTGCAGTGCCAAATGCACTAACATCGGCAGATCAAAAGGCGCCGGGAAGCGATTCCGGCGAGGCAGATGCAAAAGCGGCTCCGACCGTGCACAAGGCCCGTGGTGCAAGCGTGCACCCCCAGGCAGGCAAGGAAGCCCCGCAACCACGCCAGAAAGAGACCTATGAGTCCAGCAAGGATGCAAGTGCAGGGTCCTTCCCACACCCGTGCTTCAAGCACAAACGTGCACCCTTCGGGATCTCAGATGTCCGAACTAACGCTCCGATTGCCAGATTGCCTCTTATGGAGCAACCCGGGCGAAGAGGAGCATCCCCAACTGCGTCCGGAGCTGGGCGGAACTGACAAGCGGGATGATCTGCCCGGCAAGGCTTGGCAAGATGCACAATTGACGTCATTGGATTAAATAAAAATTCAAACTCTTCAGGCTCACCAAGATCCTGCGGTGAAGACACCACGTCACCGGACGACACCAGTTCCCAAGCTGCGGCCGGCACCGCTGATGTGGACTCGACCTCAGGAGCCGCCGGAGCATCATCTTCGGAATCAGAGCTCGAATCTTGATCGAGAACCAACGGCTCTCTGTCGTGGAGCCTGGGCACAACCGAAGGAGAACGCGCATCCGAGGCCACCGGCTCCAGAGCGGGCAGAGAGAATGCGACGTCGGGGAGTGGCGGAGAACCGCCTCTGAGGGCCGGCCTCAGCGGCCGGAATCCATTCGCCACTGCCTGGACGATAGAAGACTGCAGTGCCAGGGGACCTGAAACATCATCTCTGCCGCATAACCGGGTCACGGCGTGCCCCGGCGGCGGGCGGTGGTGTCCTTGCTCTCGCCGCAAGGCTTCGTCCAACAAGAGCTGCTTAGCCAAGGATAAGAAGGTGACTTTGGCACTGTGCACGCCAATGAGGGACAAGTCCGGCCGTTGGTCCGCCGGATAGCTCTCGTAGCACATCGCCAAAAGTCTGCGGATCAGGACCACCCCAGCAGCACGGCTCAAAGGAGCCAAGAAGACAGGAGCACGAACATCCGGACCCAAGTCCAGAAAGTCGGGCTGAAACCCAGGACGAGCGGCCGAAGTACCTGGACCAGACACAGCCAGACCTGGCCCCAGCCGGGGACCGTTTGAGGCCTAGCGAGAAACCCGGGAGCCCAGGCGCCCCACGGCATGGATCGAGAAGTGGTTTTCGTCCTTGTAGCACATCCCAGAAGCGCCTGCCGATCCAAGTGAAGAAAGGAAGGCGGAGACCACTGAGCATCCGACCAGCGGAGGCTGGCCCAGTATGAAGCCACACCGAATCCGATGTGCCGCGGACTGGGCCGCATCCAGCACTTGCCTTTCCAACCAAATGACGAAAGAAAGCGGGAATGGTGCTGTCTCCCTGCGCTGAACCACATTCACGGATTTGCCAAAGGCCCGCACTGCCTCGGACTGTAGAGCCACCTTGAATGACTGGACCTCCAGCCGCGTAGTGATGAACCTGAAGGCCTTGAGCCACGCGATAGCCGACCCATTGCAGTGCGTGATCAAGAAATCGCAGAGGAAGGCTACCTTGGGTGCCCATTCATCTGCAGATTGGACCTGGCAAAACTCGACCCAATGTTTCCAACGACCGAAGTAGTTGGTGAGAGTCGAAGGAGCGTTCCCCTGAACCAGGCGCACCAGAAGTACCGAAGAGTTTGGACTCTGCAAGAGCTCTGCCACCATTGCAAAGCAGCAGCAGCTGTGGCTGCCAGGGCCAGCCACACCTTAAGTTGCTCATTTTTTGCATTCTGCCAAGCCGACAACATCGTGCCCGGTGCAGCCGGCTTGTAGGGATGAGCCGGGGCAGGAGGAAAAACCTTCAGGTTTGGGAGCACCCTTGCACTGCGGAGCGGAGCAAAGCCACCCTCGGAGACCTCAGACGAGTCCACAATGCTCGGAGAACGAAACCTCGGCGCCAATGATGGTACAGAAGCCGGGGGCTCCGAGGCCAAAGGCACGCAGCGGCACCTAGGTAGCAGCAATGGAGCCAGAGCCGGGCTCGGAGCCGGCACTGGTGCAGGAAGAGACGGCTTGCGAGGCGTTCCATCCGGCAGCCAGCGGCTGGCCATGATCATTCAGAGAGACCCCGAGCTATGCAACCCCACCCCCAAAACCTGAGCCTAGCAGATAGGTCAAAGCGGCAGGCTGATCGGCAGGCATACACAGCTAGCCAAGGCAAAAGGTCCAAAGAGAACCGGTGAATCGCCGAATTTTCCAAGCAGTTTGCAAAATCGCCTTGATGCCCTGTAAACACAACCTGTCAGTCAGAGCGGAGGCTATGGATATCGGAGCTCAAGATCACCGGCAGCTGCGACACCAAGGACTCGAGGCGATCCACTCGGTCAAGAAGTGAACTGTGCCCTGATGCCGTATCCTGCTGAGACAAAGACTGGAGGGCCTGTTCAGCCCGCGCCACCCTTGCGGGAAGAGCATCTGATAGTGCCTGAGCCGCCACCTGGGGATCACCGGTGATCGTTGGAACCAATAGGCCCAGAGCCGACCGCAGGTCATCAACGTTTTCCCAGAGCAACCTGACACGAGTTTCCAAGCGATCCAACCTCCAGGACAATGCATCCGTCTGCAAAGCAGTCTGGCTGACATGAAGCGACACCGAATCCAAACCCTCGGATAGAGCAGCCACCTATAGCCAGAAACCGATCCGCAGCTTCCGACAAAAGAGAAGTGTCATAGTTCGAAGGCCACACCAAATGTTCCACATTAAGAAGCCTGCCCTCGAGGTTCGCAGCCTGTGACAAACACAAGCGAAGATCCTGGGCGAGTTCCGCAAGATCCGCAGCAGTGGCCCAGGCCGGCTGGACCAACGCATGTCCCAAGGAAGGCGGGCTTGAATCTACGATCGGATCATCCTCAAGAGCACTGTATGGGCGCCTCCGATTGAACCTGAAGCAGAAAGGTGAAGAGCTCCGCCGCGACATAGAGGGCCAACCTGACAGAAGTGGGAAAGAGGGGTGGAGGAGGTTCACAGGTGCAAGCAGGCACTGCCAACGTAGAGCACAGTGGCCTAATGCAGAGTCGCCGTCCCAGCCAAGCGTGAACTTGGGAGTGCCACAACCTGATTATTCAGGCAAGCTAGAAAACCCGTGGTCCGGCTGTGGCGAGATAGTCTGCCAAACGCAGCCAAGGTCAAGACCAGGTGTCACCGCGGCGAAACGCCGGGCGACCTAAAGCCGCCAGAAACACAACGGGAACCGAGAATGCTACGGTTCCAGTGCTTCAATCTGAGAACGGCGCTAGGTCCACAGCAGAATAGCACCGACCTGAAGAAAACGTGAGATCCCCAGGCAAAGCCAGAAGGATTCAAGACGAGGAGCGGGCCCACCACTTGGATCCGTCGCGAAGACCTGAAAGCACAACGGGAACCGAAAGAACGGCTCCAGTGCTTCCACCTGGGGGCGTGGCAAGTCTCGTACCTGAGAGGGTCACGTGAGATCCCAGGGAAAACCACCGGGACTCAAAACAAGGAGCTGGCCCGAGCGCGAGCGAGCGGAGTCACCACGACCTGAACAGTGGGAAAAATCAGGTGGGAGGGGGGGGGCAGAACGGGCCGAGAGCCATTACGCACCACAGGCGTGAAAGCTCCGAACTAAGGCAACGGCGCCAGCGAGGCCCGCCACCAATCCCGACCCGCGCCCACAGCCCGCACTTTAAGCCGGCAATCACAAGATGAAGGCCGAGAATGCGCATGCAGTCTGAGGCAAGACCTGTTAGAATTGACCTGTCTCAAGGATCAAGTGCAGGCATGCACACAGTACTGCCCTCATGACGCTCGAAAGAAATCGCAGCTAGACATGTGATAGTGCAGGCGAAAGATCAAAAGTGTTTCATGACTGCGTCCGAGGCCAGATAATCAACAATGGACATCAGCGCCGCCGTCGAGAGGCGGCCACACGCCGACCAAAGCGACCCGAACGCAGAAGGCGAAGAGCACGAGACATATTGTCGGCCATGGCATCCTCAATGGTGCTTTCGAAAGAAGCACGCGTGCCACAGGAACGGAGCCGCATCTCGATCTCCTCTACCTGCCAGGCATCAAAAGGGGACCCACAAGTCTGAGCCGCCGCATTGGTGAGAGCCGTCATGGTATCACGGCCAGACCAAGAGACCACGGACTCCTCAACGCCATTCCGCACCACGCGGATCCAGCCCTGCTGCTCAGAGGCGGAGCTCCAAGGGAGTGACCGCCGCTCCTGCTCGAGCCTCTGAAGGCGAGCCCAAAGTGCAGCATCATTCCCAGGGTCCAAAGAGTCACCAGCCTCAGAGGACGTAACGCCTGAAGCATTGCGGTCGGCAGCCAGGAGGGCGTTGCTATCGCCGTCGACCGAGTCAGTCATGTCCTCGTCGCTAAGTGGCAGGACATCAGCAATGAAGCCCGACACGGGTGCCTCAAAAAGTCGTCGCGACAGTGCTTCGTCGATTCGGTCGTCATCAGCAGATGCACCGTTGAAGCGACTCATGCCACGAGCCAGAGATCTCGCCAGGGACTCCTGACGAACCAAAGCCAGCTCCATCGACAAGTAGAGAAGAGCCGCCATGCCAGCAGCTCAACGCTAAAGCCCTAGAGCAAAGCCTCTAGAGAGCCCTTTACACGTCACGTGTGACGGAGTGGCGCCCCCCCGAGAACGCACTCACGTCGGATCTCAAGGCTCTTATTTCCCAACGAAACTTCCGTTTGCGCACGTAACGGGAAACCCTTAACCGCGCTGCAGTTAAACCCTGTGCAAGCACTCTCTTTTTTTCCTCCTAGCGGACATGGGGGGTCAGTTCGGGCCCGATCTTCGGGCACTGAAACGAAGGATGCCGCTGGCATCTGTCTGAAAAGAACGACCGCTGGTCGCAGGTAAGGCGAACGACTGGTTCACCCCCCTCCTGCCCCCTACCAGGGGTGTCTCAGTACTACTGGAGACAAAGGTGAAACTTTCTTCGACCCACAGGGTCGCTGCAGTCTACTACTAGCTACTCTGCGTTGTTGACGGCCTACGGCCTATGTACAGCAAAGCACGCTGTGCTGAAGATGAGATCTCTGCTAGAGATAGAACAAGGAGCGCTGCTCCGGCAGCTCTGCTGCCACAAGCGTGGTCCCAGACCCCGCATACTATACAGGGTGTGGTGGGTGGGATAAAAACTTTTGGATCACAGATCCACTTCAAGCCGAAAGCTGCACGGCAAAGTTTGTCTAGTGTTCACAACACACAAGTGAAAACACTGTTTTCCTTTTACGACAAAACTTTGTCTACACTTTCGGCGGGAAATAAAACCCATTCACGCACGCATGATGGAAGCTTATTTCCCAACGAAACTTCCGTTTGCGCGCGTAACGGGAAACCCTTAACCGCGCTGCAGTTAAACCCTGTGCAAGCACTCTCTTTTTTTTCTCCTAGCGGACATGGGGGGTCAGTTCGGGCCCGATCTTCGGGCACTGAAACGAAGGATGCCGCTGGCATCTGTCTGAAAAGAACGACCGCTGGTCGCAGGTAAGGCGAACGACTGGTTCACCCCCCTTCAAGGCACTCGAAGCCTTACTCACCCCCCATCTAGTCCGCGCCGAGTGACAAGGCCAACAGCACTGCGTTGGGAGGAAGGAATTAGCGCTCTGCGCCAAGTTTCTCAGTCTCTTCCCACCAGTCTCTGCTGGGGCCATCAGTAATGTTGCTGACGGTGGGCACGCGGAAGAAAGCAGCCCTGCACTGCAGGGACTCCTCCACGTCGACTGCCTGCGATACTATCGCGGCGCCTGCCGCCTTCCTTGTGAAGGCTTTGTGTAGGGATGTACGCGCTGCGTCATTGTCAATCCACACGAACAGGTCACTGCCTGCTATGTGCTTCGCCCACAACTGTAGGCTCAGCAAGTATGGCGGCAGCTCGCACTCGAAACGAGCTGTTGCTTCTGAGCTCTAGCGACCCACTGGGTCGCTACGTGGCGGCTAATCTGTAGCCCCCAGGGTGCTTGCGATTCCCTTGCCTATGGGCACTGCTCCAAGGCCGCACTTGGGGAACAGACGTGGGGATTCACACGACGTTTATGCCTGCAAAAGAGCAAGGGAGAGGGCCCTTAGCAACCCGCAGTGGCCCTTACGGACTCGCAGCGGGCTTGTACAACAAAAAATCGGCCATTTGCAGGCAATTTAAGGACTAAAAGTACCTGCTCGCACTGTGAGACAGGTGCTGGAGAAAGGAGTCTGCACTTGTGCCTCCCAGAGCTGAGAAGCGGCGGCTGCTGCACTGCAGCAGCGGGCACGAACGGGTGATACAAGCCCCTTCGTTGCGCGTTGCGCGGCAGAGCAGCGCACTGCGTTTGATGTGCAATGTTCTTCCCCCAGTCTCGGTTGGGGCCAGCAGTGCAAGTAACATCAGGCTCTGCATGGGGCCTTGTGCGCGCACTGCGCGGCGCTGTCTTAAAGCAACACAGAAGCTCGTCATTACTAAAGCGAGCCCACAGAAAAGGAGCGGGCAGGGGGCCCTTAGCAGCTCGCAGGGGCCCTTAGGGACTCGCAGCGGGTCCTTGCACCAAAAGGTTCGCCGTTGACGAGCAAATTTAGGCTTGAAACCACCTGCCCACAGTGTGAGTCAGGTGCGGTAGAAAACAAATTCCACCGGAGCCTTCCAAAGCTCAGCACGCTTCAACTGACAACTGCCTCACTGAGGCAATTCAGCAAGGAAAGCAC